ATTGTCTGAAGTGGTCTGGGGCGTCAGTGCAAACAAGGAGTTGGGCTGCTGCCCTGTCATAGCGTTGCAGTGGCCTCCTGCCTCGCCGGAACGGCGTTTACCCTTGTGACAAAAAAAAAAAAAAAAAAGGCAGCTACTTCGGGCGGTAGTTCTTATTTCACTGATGCGGTTTGGGTAATTGGTGTGTTTTACCTTGTGGAGAGCGCGGGTTTGGATCTGTGTGTTATTGTGGGTATGGAATTGCGTCTCTTGGAAGGATGACTGGTTGGAGAAGGTGGCTCCAACTTCAACCTGTTTTTCTTTCTCAGGTCATGTAGAAGAGCAGATTTAATGTGAAGATGGGACTGTTGGTGTTTATGCGTAACCTGCTGCTAGCCCTCTGCCTCTTTCTGGTACTGGGATTTCTCTACTATTCTGCCTGGAAGTTGCACCTTCTCAGATGGGAGGATTCAAGTAAGTATGAACACTGTGTAACTGTTTCCGGGCTCCCTAAAATGTCTGTTAAATAGTTGCAATAGTACTGAGGTGTTCTGATTTAGTAATATTAGAGAGTGTGACTAAGCCCAATCAAATGCTGGGGCTTTTAGTATACTTAAGGGGTCGAGTTTGTAATTACCTAATGCTCTTTATGGCTTTACTTTGATTACTGGGTACAAAAACAGGTTCACAGTCTATAAATCTAGTATTAGAGATTTCAGTTCTTAGAATAGTCTGTGTTAGTTTATGGTTCCTAATTGTCAAAATAAAGAGTTTGTGTGCTGAGGCTTTTGTTCCCTGAATCTTTCTGTACATTTTAAAATATCTGAGACAAGGGTTTTTTCTCTGGTGGATTTTGATTTCTTTCTACAATCATATATGCTGGTTATCTTGTCATATTACTTTGTCCTTCAGAAATCCTCATCTTCTTTTTATCTTCCATATTATTATCTGCCATCTGTCTGTCATCTAAAATTATATGTCTCGACCTTTTTAAGTCCAAAGAGACCTCTGACCTCATTGAATACAATCTGAGGATTGTACTGTGCGGGAATGCCATAGGAGGTTTTAGTTGCAATGATATATATAAATTAGACTGAGGTTTGGTTGCTCAGTTGCTGGTCTTATTTTTGCTTGTGTTGATTGCTTTCTTGCTTGCATGTGAGAACTGTTTATTGAAAATATAAAACCAAGAGAACAATTCCCTCCTCTCCCCTCCCACCCAAAACACAAACCAGCCTTCTTTACAGCTGTTCCACGGACTGTTTCAGATGTCTTGCAGCCGACTGTTGCTCCCTGGATCAGTGGCTGAGAAACACTGATCCAGACAGATTGTTTTTCTCTCTGACAAAAAGCTATCAGTCAAATTCCATCTTCACTGTATTGCGTTTCTGTGCATGCTGCTGGAGGTTTCTACTGCAGTGCTTATTAAACTTAATATTTTTCCACCTCTACATGCTCTGCATCTGTTGTTACGTGCTCTAAGAAGTTTTGCATGGTGACAGATGATGACTTGGATATGACATTTGCACTGATGCAGTGATTTTTGACAGGAGGACTGCTAAGGTGTCTGAACAGGTATTGGAAAACTGATTTTGTAAAAGGAGATGCACAGTATCTCTCTGAGCGGGGATTGTTTCTTCAGGTTTGTGCTTCAGTGAGGGAGTCAAAAATCTTGATTGTGACCTTCTGAAAACTAGCACTTTCATCAACGAGGTATAGAAAATCCTTCCTGCATGAAAAGAAGTACAAAATGTAGTTAAAAGAACAGTTTTGTTGTATCTGCTACCACATGATGATCTGTTACGAAATTTATGCCACCTGCCATCCTTTACTTCCTTCATACCACTAGAAATTGTGTTGGGACTTGCCAAGGCCTGCAAAAAAACCCTTCAGGCCACAACTTATATGTGAACTTTGTTAAATGTGGAGGAGTGGCTTTTTTATGTGCCATATACCAAGGTGCTGGGGTGGGTACCATTTGTTGTTTTATGCCATGTTAGTCCCTGGGGAATTTTGTGGTAACTGTGCCTTGCTACCTTGCGATGCAGTGTTGCAAATCCGTATGTAAACTTTGTGGTTTTCTATAAACGGAATGCTTTTACCTGGAAAGATGAATTTAAGTTGCAGCCTAGTTAGAGTAATTTCTGGTGAGCGTACCGGCTGCTTTTGGGTACCCAGGGTGTTCTGACAGGAGCGCCATGAGGTGATGTCACAGACTTTTTGTTAGGTGTGTGTCTCCTTTTTTCTGATCTTGTGTATAAAATGTGTTCTTCCTTTATTCTTGGAAGTTGCAGTGTTTGCATTAAGCTTCTTCAACATGTACAAAGCAATGATGCTAGGTTGAAGATTTAGCTTATTGGTCTTTATCAGCTGTCACAATTGATACAGGCTGTTCCAGTGTTCCTTTTCTTCTAGACACTTTTATGGATTGTGTCTTGAATATCAGATGAAGCTCCTTGAAATATTAGTGTAAATAGCAGTCTAGCGTAAGAGGGCAAAATTTTATGTGATTACTTTTGAAAACAGTTAAGGTGGTACCAGTTTTCAGTTGATCTTCAGAGTTCTGTATATATCCAAAAACGTTTTATTTATCATGTAATTTTACACGTGAGGAGCTTATGCAGATTTCAAATACAAATTTAAAAGCCTGTATTGGCAAACTTGATATGAAGAGTTAATGTTGCGCTTCTGTAAATAAATGTTTGGAAGTTAACAAATGACAGAATTGAAGTTGCTCATTTAACCACGATTAGGCTTCTGTGAGAGTGTGTAATATGATACAATGTATAATGGTGCAATTATACTTTCTATTTTCAGAAGGGGAGCCTTCTTAGTTCAGTGCACAAGACAGGTGGTGCTTGATAGCTGTTTCTGGTTTTATTTCCTGAATTACAATTCAGTGTGTGACCTTGTAAATTTCCTTAAGATTGATATGATAATGCTGATGTCCCCAAAGGCAAAACTAAGTTAGATGTGTTAATTTTGGGGTGCTTAATAATCTAAGATTATTGATTTTATGTGTAAGTTATCTTCTAACTAAGTTATTTTTTCTTTTCTTGTGACCAGTGTCTTTATTCTGTGTAATAGTGACTCCCTAGCTTCAGCAGTCACATTCATCTTTTCTCTGTTCTGTTCTTTATGCTAGAGGAGGCGTGAAACTAAGCTGATTCTGACACCCAACACCCTTGCAATCTCTTCAGAGACTGGTTTTAGTAAACTTGACACCTGCATTTAATATCGGACACAAATCTGCCATAGATTATGGTGAAAAATACTTGATCTGCTTATTTGCTGCTTGTGTGGTTTGTTCACTTAACGCGTTAGAACATGCCTGGGTATGTTGTTATGGATGAATTTGAATGGTAACTCTGTAAGGAACCTAGTCATGCTGAGACTTTGATGTTAGTATATTTAGCTGCTAAAGTAGATGAATAGTTAAAGTAGTTTATTTGTCCTCCTGACACCTCCAAGAAAGGAGGCTAAAGTTCTGAATAGACTGAAAGATATGCATCAATGTTTCTCTCACCATCTCCATTTAACTTTAAATCTGTCCTCCTTGAGTGTTGCCTTAGTGAGTTCTGAGAGATTGTTCTCCTTACTGTGTGACTCTACACTTGCCAAAATACAAAGGAGAACAGGAAAGAATTAATTCTCTAAGGCTTATCTTTCCTCTGACAAGAATAGATTGAATTCAGCTAATGTGAACTAATTAAGGTTGAATTAAGTTCAACTGCTTCTTCCATTCAAGACAAACCTCCAGTGACTGCTACCCTTCTCTCATCCTTTTAGCGAGTATCATGGCTGGCTACTCTTCCCTGAGCTTTGTTTCATGTCGGTGGCAATATATTGCTAGTTCTCAGAGCAGTAGCAAAGTGTAAAAAAGTGGTGTATAACACTGTGTGAATACAGGAGGGCCTTTGAGTTCTGGTGATCATTGGGAGTATTTGACCGGTGTTTGGGATAGAGGTAAGCTTTTTTCTTTCCTGATTTCTGTAATGCAGCTTCAGTCTCTGACAATAGTGGTGAGAAATGTGTACTGTCCTTGCAGTTCTTACCAGACAGGCAATAATGACGGATGCTGCAGCCCTCTGATTAAGAGTGTTGAGTTGCATGGAGGTGTGCTTAAGCACGTAGATCTGATAATGTGATGTGGGAGACAAACAAGGAAATAAGAAGTTTGGTGTCAGGTTTAACTGTCCTGTACATTCTAGAAGGACCTTGCAGCAGCAGATAATGATAACTCTGTTCATTGTGTTTTGGATACTGAGTTGTCAGGGAATTCTTACACAGTAATGGTAGTGGTAGGAGCAGGTTTTGAAGGTGAGACATGCACTGCAGCCTTTTTCCTAACAACTCCCTGTCCTATCCCTTCCACCTTTCCTGATGCATTTGGCTCTGAGGAGGAAGGAAGATGTCATTTGTACGAGTGTGAAGAACACAGTGCCGGGGAAGGTGCCCCATTGTTGCTGAAAAGTACGATGGGAGATGGAGTCTTGCTGACAGTGCCTCTTAGATTTGCTTTATCAGCTTGGAGGAATGCATTTTTATCCATAACTGAAGGACAGATTATAGTCATGTTAAAATTTAATACTGATGTTTGTTACTTAAGCTGGTATGCGTATAGCTGATTTTGCAACTTAAAAATGTGTTCTAAGGAGGGAATGATTCCATTAAAAAATGTCCTGGCTATGGAAATATTTGACTTATTCCCCCAAGGCAGCTTTTTTATTTTTGCTTTTTTTTTTTTTCCTTTTTTTCCCTCTCAAAGTATTGAAATATACTTGGGACGAGGACAATGTGACGCTATTTTCCTGTTCTCTATTGTATTTCTATCTACATTAGCATTGAATTAATTTAAAGAAATATATACTCTACTTTAGGTACTTTTGCCAAAACCTAAGTGAATACAATTTGTAGCTATAGATTTTGAGCTTGTCAGTTGGAAAGTGGCTTTTGAAACATCTCCAGGTATGTTCTGTTGATGTCTCCGTAAAGAAATCGAGTCACTACTCCGTCATCTGTTGCTCCATGTTATTTTCAACTCTAATTCTGGAAAGGCAGCCAAAGAGATAAGTCTCTGGGAGGAGATTTTCTGAAGGTATTTCAGGACCCTTATCCTTTTTATTTTTTCTATTTTTTTAATGTCTGTTTCCATGGAAACTGAGGAGACATAAACAGTCAAAACTGACTTACTTCTGGTTGCAGGTTCTTAGTCTGCTTGCATTTCCATGGAAACAAGTCTCGCAGCAAAAAAGGCTAAATTAATCAAAAGCAATCAAACCTTTATCTTTTTAATATAAATACTGACTTCTCTTTCAAAGTGAAATGGTATTTTTGTCAATTCTTCCATTGGGGACTAGAAATGGACTGAAGAAATGGACCTTTTTACAAGGGTTTGGAACGTGCGTGCTCCTTCTTGTGTGGCTAAAGTCTCAGGGTATGTGTCATGGTATGTAGTGTGGGTACAACTGTTG